TTTTTTTTTCTTACTTTGTTTTTTGTTTCCAACTATAGCTGCAGCTGAAGTAAGTACTTTTATTTCATTTGATTGTTCTACACCTGGGACAAACAGCATTATAAACATGTACTTATAAAGCAATTTTCTCCTGTCAGAAGAAGGAAGAGAAATGTCCTCATGAGGAGGAAGGATCAGGATCAGGAGTAAAAAAAAGTTTCACATGTGCTTTCTGTTGTTTTGCTCTGTTGATTCTGTAATATTGTAGCATTCATGTGTTTATTTGTCTTTATCACTTACATGGAGAAGGAAAAGGAAAGGGACAACTTAAGCAGCCTTTTGGAATTGAAAGTTTGCTGCCATCTGAGTTACAATACGTTTTTAATCACTTAATTTTCTAACGGTTGTTTGCAGGGGAGAGAGCATGGAAAAGAAGGTGAACATGGACATGGGCCTGGAAAAGGAGGTGAACATGAAGGTGGAAGAGGAGGCGGACCAGGAAGAGGAGGCGGACCAGGAAGAGGAGGCGGACAGGGGCAAGGAAAAGGAGGTGAACGTGGACGTGGAAGAGGAGACGGACCAGGAAGAGGAGGCGGACAGGGGCAAGGAAAAGGAGGTGAACATGAAGGTGGAAGAGGAGGTGGACGTGGAAGAGGAGACGGACCAGGAAGAGGAGGCAGACAAGGTCTTAAATAAATTATGAAGAATTCACTGAATCAGCATTATCTGATGACTGCAAAATGACAGATATATCTCTAATAAACTAATACAGAAAGAAGACTGTCTTGTTTATTCACATAAGTATTACAATTACAACTGTTGGATCCTTTCTGAAATTCTGTGAAATGTTTGCTGATAAATCAACGGGCTTTGATAACAATTCATTCTCAAAAACAAAAACTAAAAATGGCAATAATCATATCAAGTCATTTGCACTTGAACGTGTTCTATCTTCATGGTAATCTTCTTGTGTGTGGACACATTTTAGGTTATCCAAGCACTAAAAATGTGTGTAAGTCTAATATGAATAATCGTGCTGTATAAGGTTATGTATGCCACTAGAGTACAACTTTAATTTGCATGGGTGTCTTCAGTGGTTCCTGATCTGATTTAAAAGTTTCATATTTTAGTCATTAACA